TTAATGTATTTACAAGTTAGGTTTTAATATACTGCCCATTGCAAATAAAACAGATCACATTCTTTACACGTGCTTAAATATAAAGGCAAAGACCGCCCACACACAACTTTTTTTCAAATTAGGCTAGTACAGCTACCAAACCAAGGGCGATAATTTTTTATATAAGCGCACTAATGTCGATACATTATAATTAGAACTACACATTTGAAGTCCAAAAGAAAAAAAAAATACACAAGACTTTGAGAGACTATTAAAACAAAATATGTTACTTGTTGAAAAGATAGATAGGTGAAGCCCTCACTCATTTAGACACATAAATTCTATTTCAAGCCATCTTTGATCGACAATTCAATTCCATTAACCAAATCATAAAGGGACCTAAATAGTTGATGTATATTAAGTCAATTTTGGACGTCGTAATAGATAAGTAAACTATTTTTTGAAACGACCTTTATTCTGTTTTTATGTTCTCATGTACTATTCAAAGATCTATAAATTTTTCGAATGGCAGTTCCGTCGATAATGAATTCGCATTTGTCATTTAGTTGACCGATTGCAATCATTTTTAATCGGCAGCCTCTTGAATCCAATGCAAAGTCTGTTTACAGAAGAAGGTCCTGCGGTGTATTAAATTATATCCTTTACGACATTCGTAACAAATTTATAAAAATTTATTAAAATATTTAATCCATTTGCTGAAGCACAGATTGTTTACATTTTGTGACCCCACCACCCCCCAAAAAACCGAAGCACACACCAACCATAATAAACAAAAACACACCAAATAATGTTAATTAAACTAGCCACAGTTGCATTTTCAGACTATACAACATTTATCTCCCCATTCATTATAAAGAATAGAAAAAATAGAACGATCCATGGGCCTGCACAATTGTTTATAACCGAGTAAAAGACCTAGATATTATTCCGAAGAATGTAATATATAGAACTAAAATGTAATCTCTGTGGCAACGTTCCAGAAAAATCTAATAAAGTTGTTCAAAATGCAAGACAGATTCCCAATTAGAGAAGAACATGTGCGCAAAGTGCAAATTAGTTGTTTGAACTGTTAAGCATAAATGTTTAGATGCATGCACGTGATGATTTGTAGGAATGAACTTCTTAAAACAGATATATGTGCAATTTACATTTACCCGTTCACCTATATCTCACCGTCTGGGATGTGCGCTAATTTGAATAAATCAATCACACCACCTTCTTGCCGATAAAATCCAAAGTGCAACAGGTAGTTAAACAGAACAGTTTGTGGCTTGTGATAATTCATGATTTACCCCCATTCCCAACCCCCATTTTTCGAACAAAGAATCACTCTAAAATTATAACAATCGTCCTTCGGCGAAATGCTAATAAATTAAAACTAAAACTAATATCATAATATTAAAACCCAGAGAAGTTGACAAAAAAGCCGTGTATACATAGATAGATATTAGAAATCATGAGTAAAATATGTTCACTGTATCTTCAGTTGCGTCTTGCACCTGTATCTTATAATTTACTTAAGGGGTATCAACTTTTATAACTATGTACTATTCTACTTGAATTTAACACTATGTTAAAAAAATACAAAAACACCTGCACATGTGACAAGAACTAAATTATTTTGCCAAGAAACAAATAAACATTCTGAAAGGGCAGAGTGCCAGGTGATTTCAAAGACTGAATGGTAACTTTATCTGGTACCGCCTTTAGACTCGGGTGTTATTTTGGTAAAACGCGGTTGAACGATCACACTGTGTTATCGAGGGGCCAAGTATTCACATTTTTTATTTCTTTTTCTAAATATAACCCCTTAACTAAATTAGTACACTAAGGTGACATACAAAACAAGTGGCTTAGGATGGTTAATAAGATAACGGAAAAAATCTACAATAATGAAATATGAACTGAAAATGTTTCAAAATAGCCCACGTCTTTCAAATCTAAAATAAAAGTAGTTTGGTTTCACAGAAACAATTTTACTAAAAGTCTACCCCTTTTTTTAAAGGAATGGTTTTAAATATAACGAAAACGATTTCTTGAGACTTCTTGTCAATTACAGAGAAATTAACCTTGATGTGTAAGGGGAACTTTCATGACAGGTTCGAGAACATTTAATGACTCACTGAGAAACAGTTACCTTTGCTGATCTACCGGTTCGACAACCTTTAAAGACTCACCGAGAAAAAACACCCCAAGCTGATCTACATGTTCGAGAACCTTTAATGACTCACAGAGAAACAACAACCCAAACTGATCTACAGGTTCAAGAACCTTTAATGACTCACAGAGAAACAATAACCCACGCTGATCTACAGGTTCGAGAACCTTTAATGACTCACAGAGAAACAACAACCCAAGCTGATCTACAGGGTTCAAGAACATTTTAATTACAGTTACATAGACCTCTAATGGTTCATTATACAAGAAGGACACATCGGGTTTCTTACAAATGTAAACACAACCCGTCTGAAAACGGTCACTGCATATAGCTAAAAAAACAAATAAATGGGACCTGGGTAACAAAAGTCTATGCTGATAGATCCAAAATATTTTTACGCATTAATATCAGCGTCTGGTGAATCACACACAATAATAACTTTCATGATTCCTACTTATACATTGAACTAGATTCGGCAATAACTTGAACTTGGATGTTAGAAATCAAAGTTACTTTGAAAAAAATAGACTGAAATGGAACGGGGTTTACATTAAAATGTCTAGACAAACATATGGCAAGTATTATTTCTATGTTTGCATGTGCATTGTTAGGGGGTGGGGGATAAATGTTTGCCCGGGCAGTGGCGTTTTCGTCTTCTCTTGTTTGATTTCCATCTGTCGTGTTTTTCTTTTACGTGCACACCACTGTATCCATGAATGGACGTCGGAGTTTCCTCCTACCGAACGACCAGACACACTTATCTTGTTCGCCTGGCAGGCGTCATCGCCGACAGGACAAGGCCAGGTTTGAAATATATCAGTCGTTCGCACCAAGATTCGATGTCAGGGCATTTTAGTCAATAATCCAGATCCCTGAGTGCTCGATTAATGCGGCCCCATACTTTGAAAGGAATGATTGGAAACATGTCCAAAAGCACTCAATGGCCAAACAGAAACAGAAAACAACACAATTACTGATGATTTAGTTAAGCAGAAGAGAAGACAACATAATAGCTTTTTACTTTGTAATACTGCTAGAAATCTTGTTTTAGAATAATTATGATTTTTAGCTAGTGATAAAGAAATATTTGTTATCTAGAAGTACTGTACGTAATGGTTTAGCACTGTAAATATATACAACGGAGTACTTATCACTAGACACATATAGGTCAAAACATATCATTAACACCTTTATTGTAGGACCTATATATTCATTGACCATTCCAGTGATATAAAGATTAGTACTTGATGACAAAGAAATTGCCCAAATAATGTCATAATTGAATGTGATAAATCAGTTTTTTGCCAATGACGCTAAGATCAGTGTTTGATCGCAAGTACATAATAATTTGATTTAGACTGGAGTCTGGAGAAAACAAAGAGAAACATTGAAGAAGAGAAAGCACATTTTTTGTCAGAAAATTTTAATAAAATAATTGTTGGACTGAGTATTTAACAAACAAGATAGATTTTCAGTTTCAGTCAAATGTGATCGACCACTGAAACGCATTCTTAGTGGTTGTCTGATTCATCTATGAAAAAACAGAATGTCTATCTGATGATGCACATTGATTACTAACACATACACATGGGCTACATATGAAAGGTTACGGAAAATTACAGGATGCCTTGTTGGCGTTCCAGCAGGTGCGTTCACCTCTAATAACCGTTACCAAGGTAACATTTATGACGTCAATAGGTATTATGGAAGCTAACAGTTTGCTAAATATAATCTTCAAACAGTAGTGTGTTATGACATCGATACATCATCACTAGGGTAAATGAGCAAAACGCATCTGTCTGTTTATCAGTGTTAAGGGGAGACAACCGACATAAAAAAAACCCCAATAATAATTGCTAGATATAAGAAGTTTAGACATTTTCGAACATTCGGACAGGCAATTTAAAGGCTTGCACCAACTAACGTAGCATCTAATAGGATAATTTTGTACACCACACTGAGGCACAATGACCTTTAAAGGCATTAACTGTCCTTGTTCTTTTGTCATTTTCCCTCGAATTTTGAGGGCTTTACATTGCAATTTAGACACGGATGTAACCATTGTTTTACGGGGTAGGTCTGAACACTGATTAATATAAATTACTTTATTTATCTAAAACTGTCGATAAAAGGCTGTAAACATAGGGCTAGATTATCTTCTCAAAACTGTTAGGTAGCGCATCCTATTTTGGTGTAAATGGTAAATATTACCTTTTGTTGCCAGAAAGCCCTAAATAGTTACGATAAGCCAGCCCAGTCGCTGAGCTCTCAAAGATTTGGAATGGCAAATTATTAAATTTGATTTTTTACTGGCCGAAAGTGATTGGGTCTGTAATTTGCTACCCCAAGTGATGTTGTGGTCACTTAGGTCGAGGTGGGAGTTTAATGCGTGAGAGTTTTCAGCACTTTGTTGGGGACCGGAAGAAGATATTTATTGCATCAAGGTGTTTCTCAAGCTATTTGAAGAGGTGTAGTATTCGCACTGCATAACATGTGCTTGATTTTGTTACATAATTCTTCCAGCGTTAAAATACCGAGTGAAAAGTAGAGCTATTAGGATTGGGTGGCACCATGTCACGTGTTTTCCAACTTTTACGGATACCGTTTCTTTTCCACCGTGGCGGCATCAATCGACCCTTAAAATAACACTTCGATGGCATGGTGTTTCTATGTGTCATAAGTTTTGGGTGTTTTTAATTCAAACACGATATTGGTTCGAAACGTATTCAACCAAAAAGATGTTTATGAACCACTTGCTGCCTTTACTCCTGTTGGTGTTGTTCAACGGTTTGAAAAGTCTTCAAACGTTTACAAAACAAGCGTGTTTAATAAATCAACTTACCCCTCCATAGCTGGCAGAACCGCCATATCCTCTCTCGTAGGAAGGCTGAAATGAATAATTCATAAATAAATAATGGGCATAGTGGATTACATATATGCACGTAGACCCAAACTACTTACATGCTAGGATATTTTAATTAGAAAGATACTGGGCAAATCAGAAAAAGATACAATAATAGATCTGTATATTTATTTCTCATGATGCACTATGTAATGATCTAATGGGGAAAAATATAATTTACATTCTAACAAAATAAATTAAAGATAAAGCTGGATTTTTTCATAATCTAAATTTGTGTGACAACACTAAAAGTAGCCCGATCCTTGGTGTTTGTAACACTCTTTTTCATGCAGAGCAATACAAATGAAAAATAAATTAAAGAACACGAAGAAAGCTTTCATAATTATTTTATTATTTTATAGCAAAGCGCACGATGATGTAATGAATTTTCAATGAATAAAAGTATGGGGACAGCGCTATTGTTGACGCCCCGCCATCTTTTGTATTTACGAATGCAACGCGTCCCTGACTGATGAATGAAAATAATCATGGAGGGGTTTTTAAGAAATGCTTAGGTTATATCCTGGCAGTGTATCCTTAAGGAGGACAGCAGCCTGGTCGCTTAAACTTACTAAGGTATGTTTTCCTGGGCAGTGTGCTGTGATTTAGTCGTTACAAAGGGTGTGTGGAGGGGTGGGGTGGGGGGCTGGCGTGATGTAGGCTCATCGGCTCCACTCGGACTCGTTCGGAATAAGCATACATTCATATTTATACCTCTGAAAATGACTTTGTTGGTGTGGGTGGGCCGACGTGGAGGGCTTTTGGGTCGGTGCCACACTAGGCCCCATTTGCGATCCGGTATTGATGGCGGGATGACTCTTAATACTAATGTAAAGGTTGCCAGCAGTGGCGATACCAAGTATAGAGTGTTGCAATAGGATCAGTAAAATAGTTTAAATAATGAATGGCATCGATTGTGCCTGTTTAGGTTTGATAAACTAATATCGCGTAAGGTGACAGCGCCACTGACCGTAATCCTCACTACACTGTTAATCGTAAATCGTGAATTTAGGCTACTTTAGTGTATGTGAAACGGTATCTGTGAAAGTGAAAATGTATACTGCTAACATGCATTTATTAGTGTGATAAAAGCAACAAACATTTTATCTGAAAAGAAAACACCAGTTAAAGCCTGATAAATGTTAGTTTACAAAATATGCAACATTTATGTTATAAACATAAAGCTTGATGGAATTTCTAAATAGACCATGTGTTCGCAATGTTCATTTATAGAGAAAATTCCATATGCTACTTGTATGAAAATAACATTAAACACTTTACAAAACACTGAAAATTGGACCCGTTTTTCCTCCGAGTAATTTACATAATTAATAAATTGCTTTAACACCATTTTTAAGAATGCAATTTTGTCTGGGTTTCATACATCTAGTCGCCCTCTTTATTAAATACTGTATTGCAAACAAAATTTAAGAATTATACAGAGACTGGAAACAGGAATTTAATTTAACAATAACGCTCATGTTTCCAAGCGCGAAGTTCTTTTTAGCGCTGTGGTCATTTTTATTTTTAGCGCAGATAAAATAAATTTGACATCTATTAATCCAATAATGTTCCAGAAACAAATAACTTTTAACGCAAAAATGTTAATCCAGTTAATTATGTAAAGTTTACACGGATATCAAGAAAACTGGTTCCTGTAATGATAAAACAGTGATAGAATGTGTAGATAGACCCCATATCCTTAATTATAAAAGGTGGAAATTCCCTCTTTGTTTCATTCTAAAAATAAAGAGAATTTCCACATTTAGAATGTATATGATTCCAAGCCTTCATTGTACATGACTGTCCACCACAAAATGAAAAACACGTGACAAGTAGTGGTACGCCATTTTGTCTGGCCATTTTGTCGTTGTGTTAGTATGCCAAACAAAAGAAAAATTAGTTTCGTATTAAATGTTATTTGCATTTAATTCCAAGCAGACTTGGTGAGCCCAAACGAAAATAAGACATGATGTGTGTTTCCAACAAACGGAAATGACAAATCAATGGTTAGTTTTCAAATCGCGATTGCTTTTGTGTTATATTTAGTGTTCTTTCTTCAAATAATTAGTGAAGTTTTAATATTTGAAAGATTTTAATCATCATGAGTATCCAGAATCAAATCTAGCCATGACGAGTTACTTCCCTTGGTTCCTGAAAGTGGTAAAACAAAATGGTTAAGGATGGGAGAGTAGAAAGAGGATGGAAACACACAATATGTAAACGGCATTCGTCTGGTCTTACCATCCAGAATTCCCAAATTAAATTTGGAATTAATCGGTCTGCTTTTTCTAAAAAGGTTTTTGGTGCTTCTTCGTTTTGCTCTTCAAAACAGATAAGTGATAAGAAGTTGAACATGTCCCGTAATCACCACTTTTCAATAAATCAAGCTAGAATAAAAGTTATTGTATGACTTTAGTGTTATAATGATAAACACGTATGCGTAAAAATGAACTATATTGATGAAATTTAAAACATAGTTATAAAAAAATAAATAAATGCTAGCATAGAATGTTTATTGCAGAGCTTATTCAAAAAGTGTTCAAAGCAGAAAATACGGCACCTGAAACTGACCGATTTATATTATCAAAGTATTATTTATCGTGCATAAAATAAAACAAAAAAAGCTGTTGTAGAACTGGAAGTGGAATAACCAATGTCAAGAACCACATGTAAAGATACAGTTAATATAGAAGTCACTTTAATCATTATCAGCCATAAGGTGGGTTTTAAACTTTGATAGCCCTATCGTAATTAAATATTTTTGTTTCAATCTGTTCATTGTGTTAATTCTGGGATTGTGTATTAGGAAACGCAAGGACTGGTCCTATTTGTGTTGAGGTAAAAAAAAAAATAGCTTCTTTGAATTTTGGAAACTTTCCTAAATTATCATGGTAAAAAGGAATACCACTGTCCATATTCAACACAAACGAGGCTAAGATTGCACAATCCATTAAAACTGAAATGTACAGTTTTACTAATTGATTATGATCGTAATAATCTTTAGGTTTGTATAAACAAAGAATTACCGTTAGAACTATTACATGTTTAAAACCTCATTCATTTGACATTGACTTTCTTGTGATGTGGCTCTAATAGGTTAGTCTGACATGCTAGTCTTATACTTGGTTATTTTGGCTCAAGAAAAGAGAGCGTCAGATAACATAATAATTTCTTTATACATGTACTAGTAATATTTAGGGGCGGATCAACAGGGGGAGGGGGGGGGGGCAAGGGGTTCACGGCTACATAAAAAATACCCGTCTTCGTTAGCACGTTTGGTGCAGAAAAATTCCGTTTTGTTTGCCTTCCTCTGTACATGTTCTGAATTTTCTTGATATAATGGTTTTTGACACAGCTTGGTCGGTTTTTGTTTTTCTATTTGGCTTCCTTAAAGTTTCCTGTGAAAATCGTGCAGAACTGATTTTATTGCATATCCGTAAAAGTAAAACGTAGCGTAGTTGGTACATGTATTTATCATGTTTTTTTTGTAAAACTCCAGAGTCTGTGTTTGGTCAAAGTGGTCTCTGGTTAAGATATACTGCACGCCAAAATGACGATAGAGACCATGTATTTCTCAAAAAATTTCAAGGCCGGGAGGTGAGACCCCCCACCCCCTCTCGCAAAGATACATTATCTGAGGAACCTGGCAAACCCCCTCTGATATTACATGTATATAGTCAGTCTTTAACAACATGTGTGTCTTGTGTCCGTCGAGGAAATGGAAATAGAGCAGAAAGATCTTATAATTTCACTTTGGAATTGAAAGGAATGCAATAAGGTTAATCGTCACTTGTTTTGACTGATTTCTTCAGAAAATTGGTCTGAATCGTGGTTGAGTGGTCGAAGAATACCTCTAAATATCAACGGTCTAAATTTTATCCAACTAGAAAGCCGTTGGAATATGTCATTGTCAGACCAATTTTACATAATAAATACATTGTACCGAGTTAGCAATGTTGCAAAACATGAGTATTAAGTAACACATAATAGGCACAGGTCGATAATGATGACTGTCAACAAACCGAAAGCGAATACTTAATCGGGTTTAAGAGACGATAGACGGTTATATAGTCCTACAGGACGTAAATAAGCGTGAAGAATACAAATTATTCCTTTGCATGATGACCTGTTACCACTGTTTGTCCTTTATTTTATACACGGTGAACAGTCTACATGTATTTGCTGATTACACAATTTTGTCTATACCGTTTTTTTAGGACTTCGAATTTTGTTTAATGGTTTGGATTGTTCGTACTTGGTATTATTTTATTATATCTATTCCCAGTATCCTAATTATAAGGTACACATTTTATGCCCTTAACAACACCATTGGGATGTGGTAAACCACTACTTCCAGAGAAAGAAAGCATATAGATATAAGCCAAATCAAGCTATTAACATTACAGATTCTGAATTATCAACAGAAGAGAACAAAGGTGCGAAAAAGGAAACCAATTAAAGTCTCTGGTCGTCATTTTCATTTTTCGGACAATATCTAATCACGATATCAACGACAGATTAAAATATCAGTTAAAATACGCCCATCTAAAGAATTCAACGAAGATTATTGGGGGTACTTGTTGATTTTGACTATGTACTCGACTGCAAAAGATGCTGAATGTTGACAAATTTTCCAGTCATCATCTTTGTGAATTCTGAACGGAACTGCTTTTAGAGACTTTATTGTAATTACAATTATTGTAAATTGAAAGGAATTAAAAAATATCCAAAATTAATTCTTTTTCAAATAACGACCATAGACTTTAAGCAGCAAGTATATTAAAAAAACATTGTTCAACGAGAATATTATATGAAAGGTTTTCTACCAGTTGTTTAAATATTTGATAGAATCGATAACCTACATGTAATAAAGATAAAACATGTATATTTCAATATAATCGTTCTCATTTAGACGTAAAGAACATTATCAATCTTATCAAAAACCAAAATAAAATTTGATGCTTTTAATAACTTCGTGCCGGTAATAGATATACATTAAAAGCTTTTAATCTATTAATCATACTTTCGTATAATATAATATTTGTACGAAACCAAAATATATGATCTTAAAATAGTTTTTATCTGATAAGTGAAATGTTCTTTTAGACATAAATAAACAAAACAAAGTTATATTTCAATAAAGGAGCATCGTTGTGCTGAAAAGTGCAGAAATAAAAAGTGAATAAACAAAAGCAAGAAAGCGTCATGAATATGCAATGACAAATATTACCATTGTTTTCCCTTCACCCAAACGTTATTTTCTCTGATAAAATGGTTATCTGAAAGGAGAATAAGTAAATATATTATTATAGTTTATTTCTCTCCTGGATGTACACGCGTCCCGTTCTGTAAAGTAACGTATTACTTTAGTCATTAGAAAAGGGGAGAGGGTGGGGGCACAAGGTACTCTAAACTACTTGACAATTTGGGATTTGAAAATGACGACAGGAAATGTTGTGCTGTGTATTTAATGATGACGTATGGTTTCATAGCCAATGACAATGTTATATCTAGCATATTCAATCTAATTAAAACTAGAAGTTATTTTCGTTTCGTTTATTCATACCATTAAAACGAAGAAGAGTAAAGGGCCGAAAAATAAAACGGAACGAAATGTAGGTATAATATATATCATGAAACTGATTAGGAGAGTGGAGTATACAATAAATGAAGATTATCTGTTGGTATAAATACTGCTATTGGTTCACCTGTAAATATTTTCAAGAAGTAAATATTATTCTTTTAGAGAGACTATATCATAGTGGGTCTGAAGGACGCCGAGATTGTAATTGTAGCTGATTGTAATAATAATATAGCATATAAAAAAAACAGACGTGGTTATGCCAGAGGTTTTTATTATTATTTTTCTTTTGTCAGTCAGCTTCATATTTCTAAAAAATGGGCAATAATGACATTATTTGGCATGGATATATAGTAGATGCAAGCGAAGTAATATACACACATGGTAATACTTAAAACAGAGTAATAATACTTACTAGCATTCTACCATATGTTCAAAATGTTCTTTTACCTACTAGCATCATTAGTCATGTCTATAGGAAAATGTAATTAGTTCAAACTATGTTCTGAGTCTTCAAATTACATTTACTATTGACGGAAATGGTGGCTAGAATGAAGGCCAGATGTTTTTGTGAGTTTGCTCTACAGGTTAACATCCTTACATTGAACACATCCAGGTAGAAAAAATAATTAAAATAAGGGATGGAATTACAGTCGTTATAATTTACGAATATAGCATGAACAACGAATATTACTCATTCACTTTACATAATGACATATAGGTTTTTATCATGATAAACTTATTTAATTGATATGGTTCTATTATACAATTTCTAAAACAATGGCCTTTTAGTATTAGATAAGATATCTATCATAAAAAGGGTGGGGCAAATTTATTTCAAACATTTTCATTTCCAGGTACCATACTTTATTCATATATGTTTTTTGTGCTATATGTTAGCTGTGGTAGCCTACATTTAACGTATTCTAAAAAGTCAAAAGATGGTAACGAGATAAACTTAGATTGTTATCATTTTAACCCTTTACGTAAACATTTTAAGTATGCATTACTCTTACATTCCATATTATGAGACCTATCTAGCTTTTCATTGATCGTGATTACAGATAACATGTTACCGTTACATTTATTTTGAACAAGTAATTGTAACTGATCATATGCATGTCATATGCAGCAGTCAATGGAGTTTATTTTTTTGTTAATGTTTAATAAATCAAGAGTTCAGAAAACTAATTAGGTTATTCATCATTGTGTTGGTCGGCCGTTTCTTTCATTCAAATCTAAATATATCTAAACAATCTTCCTCAAGAAACATTCAGCTATGTAAAGAGGGGGCTCGCATTGTTTAAGACTATTCCATCTATCAAGCGAGGTACCTTAGCGGTCATAGTGGACTGTAATACGACATTTCAACTTTACAACGACCGTGTATGATGAACCATAAGCATTATAGACTCACCAGACAAGTTGTTTGAATATAAATCTAACAAAAACACAATGTTGCACAAGGATTATTTTAATGAAAGCCACCCTTGTGAACTGTCTTTCTAAATAATAACAAATGAACATCTTTAGATAGGGTGGATATATCTGTTTTCTTAATCAGTTCCACCCAGTGTTGTTTTTCAAACATTATAAGAATTTATTAGTGAGTGTAGAAAGTGGTTTATTACGGGTGTTGATCTTATACTGTTATTTATAGTCTGTAAATGGTAGACATGACGGTTCATAAATCACCATCTATCTTTACTCTGATAAAAATATACACTAAACTTGGTTTATAGAACTGTAAAATTCATGGTGATAGACACCTGAAACTACGAAGAAACGAGTGTTTTTCTTTCAACTTGATGCCCATCTTCAATGAGGCTGCAGTCTCACCCATACTCAGACTAGTGGAGATGAAATCGAATAGTCATATCGTTTTCAAATATCCTGCATTGCTTGTATATTAGAAAAAGAATCAAGGTTAATATTAACACGTACAAAAAAACGTTTTCAGAACGGATAACATTTACACCAAGAAAATTTAACCGCTCCTCAAAATTTAACCGTTCCTGACGACAAGTTTATAATAGTAATGTATACGGGGTTTATTACAATCGTACAATACCACTTTCAGCTCTCATACATTTATAATTATTACGATAGAGAAACTAACGGACCGGAAAAAACACACGAGGTTGGAGGGGCGATCCTACTGCTTGTCATATACAAGCGGGGAATCGAAACTACGCCATTTGATTGAAACTTTCATAGTTTCTGTGTGTCACGATACATGATTTGCCACCTGCATTTCTTACTATTTTCCTAAAAGTACAAACATTAGATTTATTTAGGGTGTAAGTTATCTGAATTATTCAATGTCTAACACAACCTTACCAGGTAAATGAAAGAGTTATGTAGACATGACGTCAATTTTGGCACCACGGATACCATAAATAGAACCTGCAAGTGATACTCTGAGATAACATTCAAATTTGGTGTTAACGTATATATATGGCATTTTTAACCTTTAAGGCTTAAATATGATGTATATCTATATCGCTGGGTGTGCTGCTTCAGGATTCAACGTGTGCAGTATTTTTGAATGTAAAAATGAATGCGATAGACGAAGCAGAGGAATTTGTTTTTATCAAGTTGAATGAAAGTATTAAATGTTTTATATGTTAACCCCTTAAACGAAGAGTTTATTTATCTGTGTTAATGGAATGGCACAGCAGGGGTTGTTGATTGTGTTAGCGGATGATGGTGTTTTCGTACACAGATATTTGAACCTTAAACATGGAAAATACATTTATCTACCTTCACTTATACCCAACCCCAATTAAGGCTCAAATTCCACACTAAATAAAAAACATACATTTTAAAAAAAATGATTTTTCGATCATAAAAGTACACGTCATCGGAGAAACTAACGTGACACGATGCCTTTTAAAAGTAGAGGTCAGCGTATATCAGATTTTTTACAATCCGGTGCTCAGAACCTTATTTTTTAGATACAAAACACACCGAACAGTTGGGTTGATGAAATGCTCTTTAACAGAAGGTTGCATTAAGAAAATGAAGTAAAATTTGAATTTAAGCAACATGATAAATTAATTCCCGAGTGTTAGAAAATATGCGCCAGATGAAAGCGGGGAACCAAATAGATAATGATGAGCGGTTTCAGTCGAATTCCATGCACGACGAACCGAGGTAAACTGCTGAGAAAATCAATAGGCTGTTTTAATTATTCATCATATGTTGAAATATGATATTTACCGTAAGACCATCACCTGTCTGTACTAAAGAAGTATTTTTATGCGCTGTATAATAATAAATAGTAAAAAGTGTAGGCGGTTGTTTTTGAAATTTGATGATGATATGACGTCATTGATTCATTTCACCGTGAACGTCTACGCTATTCATTTCACATTTTTGAATAGGCATACGTTATCACGATAAATTAAGCACCACCCTCCTCTTAACATCAAAGTACCTCGGACCGTTGCTATCAATTAGATTGGAAAACCACGTTGATAAAAGATGGTTACGACAAGATATTCCACAGTAGCGCTGAATGCTCATTGAAGGCATATTTATTTCAGTTACAAATTTCGATTCTTCTGTGAATTTACCCATATTATATGTCATCCTAGACATTCTAGGAATGGTCAAAGTAATGCGTTGATGAAACTTTAAAGATACATTATGGGAGATTATATAGAGCTGGCAGTTCTCACTATAATAGTTTTAAAAAACTAGATAATGTAAAGGAAATTTGCTGAAAATTTCAGTCAAATTGATCAGCTGTGAACCAAGAATTTAGCGATTGAATTTTCGGCCTAGCTTCGATCATTATTACTAAAGTCGATACGAAAAGAAAACCATAGTCATGAATGAAAGTTGAGCAGCAAATCGGATCCTAATCCAGTAAACATCGCAGGTTAGCGATGACATCGAGAGTTGATTATGGTCTGTATAATGTCTAATTAATAATTTAGATAAGATTTCAGGCCGAAAGAAAGACCTGCAATAGGCAGATTTAGCTCTTGCATAATGTATGTTTAAACATAGTCGGGTTATTTTAGCTTCTTTGAAAGCAACGTTGAAACTTGTAGCAGAAAAAAAAATGTTAGACCAGGGGCGTCTATCAGAATTACAATTGTTTATTTTTGTTTTTTTGGGCTATCTGTTTAAACCTTAACCACTAAGATATAGGCTTCACTATTTTGCATAGTTTCTTATCTTAATGGAATCATAAGAAGATTATCGAGAAATGTAGGTTAATTGAACAACTTGATCGCTAACTTTGAAACTTTAGCTCTTTGTAAACTTATGAGCTCTAGGTAGGTCTATTTTTGAACTAGACTACCGAACTATTTTTAGTTTTCCTTTTAAATTAGGAACACACTTTTACTTCAGTCAGATTCTGGGGAACTTATAACATAGATTTTGCATGACAGCAGAAGTAAATCGGGGTATTTCTTACAACATTAAATCGCGTGTGAGGTCAGGATTCATTAAAGTTTAACATTAATTGTTATTCCATCAGCACCAATGCAAAGGTATATCCTGAATAGTATTAATTAAGATCAATCAAATATTTCGACTTTATCATAAGTTTCTTGATTTACAGAAAACGCCTCGAATTGTATTACAATTAGCTTCCGATTTTGTTTATTGTGAAATAAAAAATGTACTACATGTTAATTGTTTAAATCGCCCGAGTATTGCCCCAAGTTAGAAGTATCGTAT